GCAGGGCTGGGAACTCAGGTGATCTTGCTTCTCATCTCCACTCAGCCATGAAGCTCAATGGGTGAATTTGGGCATGTCACAGACTCTCAGCCCAACCTAACTCACAAGCTTGTTGTTACAAGGATACTATGGAGGAGCGGAGGAGGATTATGTAAGCCACTTTGAGTTTCTTGAAAAGAAAAAAAGTGGAATATAAATACAATAATCAAAAATGTATAGAGGAACACATACCTGTCCTCGTATAGCTAGCAAGTTAATGAGCGTCTACACATTTACATATTTACACACATCATGAAGGAAATCCCACTGCACAGAGTAGCAGTTACTAGCCAATATGTGCACATAGAATTGCAGCTTTATCTGCTCTTTGTGAACTCTGAATTGAAAGAAGAATGGCATAAGGATCATAGTGGAGATCTACGATCAGTTAAAACCCAATGACAAATCTCCATGGGCACAGGAATAAGTTGATGTGGGCATTATCCCTTTCCATTTGAAGCCCCCAGTTCCTGGCATATAGTTCCACTATAAGTTGAAGTCTAGTAGCAACACAAACACAGAGGCTGAGGGAGCAGTGGAGCCAATTAAGAGGTGCCCAGGGCCACTGCTAAACCAGTAACACCACCACTTAGCTTCCAGAGAGCCCCAACTAAAATCCCAGAGGCCCCTGAGCCAGACATCCCTGGGCCTGGACAGAACCTGCAGTTCCCAAGCCTAGGTCCAGAAAAAGACGTATTTATCTCCAAGAATCTCATAAGGCAGGCAGCATACTTGGCATGAGGTAATGGAGAGTTCATGGAGTGGTAGGCTTCATGCTAGAGACTTGCTATTTGAAGCCCTTCCTCTTTTCAAGGTGAGGACAGCACCTGCAAGTTGATTCTGATCTCAAGGCATAAAAAGTTTCATTCTCCTCCCAGATGTTGTCGGAACAAATCAGCCATTAAGAAACTTATCCTGAGAATGGCTTCTTGGGACCAGTATTTATTTATTTCTACTTTATTTCATTCAAAAGTATGACTTATGGCTTTCTGTTGAAGGAATCCCACTAATAATCTCCTCTGTTCTTCTTTTGACATTCCTTTTCATGTATGCTAAACAACTGATAAAACAGTGCTTTGAATTTGAAAAATGCCATAGAGTAGGTAGCATATTCCATTTATAACAAGGCCTCTATTAATTTTACTGCTAACCAAATATGTGTGGTTTTTTCAACTGAACAAGACTGACTGAATTTTATGAAGGTTTTCTTTAATCTTGCCAACGTTAATATTAAAGTTCACTTGGATAACTATGCTGGATATGACTGGGTTTGAATTTGCTATAGCTGAAGGACATGGCTTTAGTACAAAAATTCATCTTTACACTTGAACACCTTCCAATTCCACTGCCAACTGCACAAGCCTACATCCCTCAGTGATAAAACTGGGTAGGATGCTTTTATTTAGCTCTAAGAAATCAGCAGAAGATGATACAATAAAAGTTGACACTGCTGTCTGAAAAGGTAGATTGTATTTGCTAGCTACTGAACTGTGAAAGTTGGAGACTGAAGCATAATGAAAGAGCACCCAGGAAATAGTGAAGCTGTTTTTAACTCATTCAAATGTATAATGTTTTAAAAGTACAGGAGGCTCACACCCTCCCTCCCACATTAGAAGTCTGTGTAAGGCAGTGGTGAGGCAAGCATTCCCCCCCACCCCCACCAGGCTCACATTTTAGCCACAGACCTGCCATCAGCTCCATATGATATTTGCAAGGTAAAGTAAAATGCCCAATGTGCACAATCAGTTCCATGCAATTAAGTGGGGGTGGGTAATGATTGGCCTAGGATTGCCTGTCCAGTGGAGCAAAACCTACACCACATAGGGCTGCCAAGTGTGAAGGTATGGTACAGTTGCTCACTGACCACAGATCTGCTTTCAACACACTTGAGGATTCATCATCTTCACCACATTGTATTTATATCCTGCCTTTTCCCCTCTTATGAGGAACCCAGAATGGCTAACTTAATTCCATTTTATCTTCACAACAGCAACCTTGTGAGGAAGGTTAGGCTGAGTAAGTGAATGAGTGGCCCAAAGTCAGCCAGTGGGCTTTATGGCTGAGAGAGGACTAGGACTCGGATCTCCCAAGTTCCCAGTCCAATATTCTAACCACAACACTACACTAACTCTCATATGAACTCTCCCTGTATTAAACTATGTTTTCTCTATTGATGAATTTACTCTCAATGTGAAATTACATTTTACAAAACAAAACGGGAATGCTGTTGAGTTAGGATATCATCAGCATGACGACAGGAGAAATGGATGTTTCACCAGCTGGAAATATATGGGAAACCAATAAGCTATACCCTAAGATAATTAGGATGGAATAAGCTTTTCAAAGAACTCTGCATGCTCTGTGTCTTTGCCCTCAAAGGGAACACCGTAAATTATGTCCTGTGCAAAGACAGTGGTCCAAATAATGAACTGATCCTTCAAGCCTAAGGCAGCTCAAACCTCAGTATTTTAACCCTCAACTCTTTCACATGTATCCTGCTTTGAAGGAACAAACTGACATCCTTAACAACATCTTTGCAAATACCCGAAAGCATGATAAGCAGAAAAATACAGTTTTTGGGCTGTCCGAACTACCCTTTATACAGAAATCAATGTTGTCTTGATTACCATGCTAAAGATTCAAGCCAATCATGTCAAGTCGGTTGGGTACAGAATAGGGCATTACTGAAAAGGATGGTGTTGCTACCTGCCTTTTCTTGTGTGGTAATTACATACTGTCCTGCCACCATGGAATAAGCATGATAATTGGAGATGGACTTGAAAAGAACAAATAAGCACACAAAATTAGCCAGCTAATCTATATGACTTTCTTGTATGAATCAGATGCCTCATTGTTACTTGAGTAGTTTGAGATATGAGAAGATCCTGATTTCACTGTCCTCTGAAATTGAGGAAAACTGGAAAGAAAGAAGGACTGCATCAGGCATGGTGCAGCGAACTTTCCCTCTACCATATAATGGTGACCAGGGAATGCTGGTTGTGGTGGAACTTGTTTTTTCTTTTTGCCTTAACATTCATAGGATTGCATCCTATCTTTATTAATCACTTGCAAAGGCATATGTATTTGCTTTTAAAGATCCAGAAGCCAAGTGAAGTATATTAAGAATGGCCTGAATTGTTAAAATGAATAAATGGAAAAATATCAAACATTCAAAACATTGAAACAGAAACATGAATCTAAATGACCTTCTAATATTAAACTATCAAGTGTACAAACCAGAGACTGATGCACTAGTTCAGCAACTAGGTATAAACATAACTGTGCACTTTAAATTGTAGATATTAAGTCTGTAATCCATGCAAGTTTAAACAGAAAAAGGCCTACAAATTCCATTGCTTCTGTCTAATCTTGTACAGGATTGTGCCTTTTTGTAATTTAATTGCTTTATTTGAGAATAAAGAAGTAAAATGTCTAGATTCACACAATTTTATAAAAGCACATTAAAATGACACATTACTGACAGCAAATTCTAATTGGAAGCTTTGTAGAATGTTTATGAAACTCCAATATATTAAAAAATAGATATGACTGTCCCTATATATTCCACATTTGGCTTTTGTCATTTGTGATTCATGGATATTACAGCAAAATATATCAGAGATGCTTAGTCTTGATATACCCTGCTGAAACCACTTTATTTTGAAGTGCTTTGTTTATGTAGAATGCATGTTCTGTGAAATATGAGGATCTACTATTTTGCAATAAACAGGAGGATGTGGAACTGGTAAAATTCAAGCCAGATGAAAGCAAGCTAGTGTTGTACAACTGAACCTCACTTTTAAGATTTAGCATAGAGTAGTAAAGATCACCCTTTCCTCTGACAGTTCTGTGTATAGTGCAGGTAGTCTCTTAGTCTTTGGACTGTTGCATTTTTTCATGTTGGTATGGAAACAGTGAAGTAACCCCCTCATGCAATGGGAGTTTCCCACCTTTTCCTTCCCACTGCAGTGCCCAAGGGCCAAAATAGACATTTCAATGTCTTAGTATCTGAGTCTTTATTGTATTTTTAGACTGGAGTAGACACTGGTGGCCTCATTCAGATCTTAAAAACCTCCCAGATGCTAGGGTTCCAGTCTAGATTTGTGGGTGGGGTTTCTGTGCATCCTTTAGACTCTAAAGTTTAGAGTGAAATGAAGAAACAGGAGGAGGAGGAGAAAAAGAAGATGTAGCTGCTATACACACATTTACAGTATTGGCTATTTTATTATTTTAAATGCTGCTCCTCAGATGGAATAACTTTTGGAACAGTTTGGGATGTGGGTGAAACAACTGTTGTGAGAGGCAGTATTGGTATGAGGCACCATTTGGCTGTCACCAATAGCTTTTCATGGGCACAAGAAGCTGCAAGAAGGCAAGTTGTAAGACCACAATGTGCAGTTTCACTCTAGATCCAAGATATGTTAATGCCTCCCAATTCAGAAGTAGGCATTTCATGTATGATGCAGTGACTGGAGGAAATACAATTGCATTTTTGGAACAAATATCCCTACCCCCCTCCCTGCACCCAAACTGACCAGCACCTCCTCTTTGCCTCAAGGACATACTGGAGAGATTTCCCTCTTGGAAGGGCAGGGCAGGAAGGCAGGCTTTGGAGGCCTCACTCTCTTCCCTTTCACTTCTTCTCTATGGTGAAGAGGCATAATTTTTTAAAATTGATAAGCTTTATGGCCGCTTGTTCATAAGTATGGGTTGTTTGTAACCCTGGCATTCATAACTCAGGGACTGCCTGTCTATATAAAATTTGCACATGTTTGTACTATCTGATTCTCAGAGTGAAGCAATATTTTAGCTCCACTATAATATTGTTTCAATAGTAGCATTATATTATATATTGTACTCTATAATTAAATGTTTAATATTTTCTATTGTTGTACCAGCATTTGTGGAACTTCTTTTAACATAGCTAATTATAGGATTGCACTATTAAATAATTTCCATTTTCTACATTGTGCTTCTTACTGATAAAACCAAACCCTACTGTAGACAAGAGTAATTGTATTTATCAAGAGTAAGAGTAAAACCTAGTTTATGCAGCCAAAATCCTTTCATCTACCTACTTATTAAAGATACGGAAGTGTGAATGTTGAAAGTGTGCCCATCCCTGTACTATTGTGCTTAATATACTATGTAACAAAGATTTCTCCTACCTCAAAGGACTACATCTTCACTCTCAGCTTTGCATGGATTTATGGGCACAACAACACACATTATTTTACTTTCAAGGAACAAGGTAATACAGGGGGTGGGCAGGTTATCTTTCAGGACTGAACTCTTGATTTAAGAGTTAACACAGTGACACAACAAAAGCTGAAGAAAGCAAGTATCAACAGAATAATGAGCCAGGATAATAAGACAAGGTGTTTAATATTAGCACTGTGAGAAATCATATTAGATATTCTTCTGATTTTAAAGGAAGACACTCAGAAAGAAAGCTAAGTATGTATATCTGTAGTCCACAGGAAACTGATTACTGTCACATTTATTACAGGCATCGCACAGCGGGGAGTTCTAGGAAGAAATATTACAACTGCTGTAGAACAATACTATCCCAATATTGATGTGTCAAAGAACATAAAGTATGTCGGCACATAATAAGATCTGGACAAGGAAGATCTGGATAAATGAAACAATACTGCCTATACATACATTTTAAATCAGCCTTGCACGTTGGGACTCTCTTCAACAGACTTTATGGGGAAAATTTATGTCAGACATAACTAAAATTATGGCAAATTGTCAAAACAACAGTACTCATGGCATATTACTCCAGCCCCTAGGGTGAGAATGTATTTCCATATATGCTGTTTGTCTTTCCACAGACACCATTCGAATTGCAGCTTCCTTCTCATGGCAAATTCTGACTGCAGATGTACTAATTCAGGCTTACTGCTCCTCAGCACTATTTATAGCTTCCAGATTTCTTCCTCGTAGTTTCTCCAGGAGGCTATGGAGGCTCGCAGCCTGTACTTTCCCACCTGCCAGGGCCATAGTGCCATTGACTCAAGAGGTGAACAACATGAGCAACAGCACAACTACTGCTGGCTCTGGCAACTGGTGGTCAGTCTTTGGCATGGCTGAACCGCCGACTGTTCTATCCCTTTACTTACAATAAAAGTCTTATTTTATAAGGCACACCAATGAAACTATACTTTAAGAAGCATTTTAAGTGCAGATAAAAATTAAGAAAGCTGTACTCAAAGACAAGTGTTGTGTCCCCTCAGAGAGACACTATATTAAAGGGAGAAATTCTGGGAGAAAGACACATTCAGTGCCTTAAGCCTGTGCTGGCCTCTTCTGGTTCTCCCAATGGAAGGGATCCTAGTTATTTTTCCAGCCTCTCATTTGGCCTGCTAGACCTGCTGATGGATGCCAGCTTGGTCCAAAACATAGTTCCAATCATCAGTGATTTAATCATGAATTATTGGTCTGAATCAGTAAGTTTGGAAAGGAGAGCTACTAGTTTTGTATGGCTATGTCTTCCAGCTGGTATTTGTTGTAGCATCAGTAAAGGCTGGAGAATTAGGGACAAAGAATCACTGCTGGCAGTAGGGATTCTGCCAACAGTGATTCCATGACTCTGGTTCAGGCTAGTACTAGTCTGGAGTGTTCATACCTCATAATTGGCACTTCTGGGGTTCTGCTAATGTATTGCCTACCCTACTGCCCAGCAGTCTCAGTGCCTGAAGTGATGGAGGTTATCTCCAGCTTGGTACTGAGGACTCTCTAGAGAACTTCAACATCCATGCTGGGACACCCTTGTTTGTGATGGCCTAGCACTTTATGGCTACCAGGACAGCCATGGGCTATCCTAACATGTTGTTGACTAACACATGATTCCGGACACTCTAGACTTGGGTTTCTCAACTGGATCAGATGCTACTGATCTGAAAGTGAAGTATTTGACATCTATGTTCCTATCAAGATTAGATTATTTTCAGCTTATGTTTGAGCTGTCAGAGACCCTATCCCTCTGGAAATATGGGGAAACTATTGAAATGACCCCCACCCCCAAGGTGAATGGATTTTGATGGATTCCTGATGACTCTGGGGGATCCTCTGGCTGGTATGGTTTGTGATGTCCCTGTCAAAGCCTCAGCTTTCCTCTGGGATGGAGAAGTAACTTGAGCAGTTGACACAATCTTTCCCAAGGATCCTTTTGCACTAAGCAAAGCCTGTATATCTCCTCTGTGTACATTTTTGCTGAGTACAGTGAAACAAATGGGGAAAACACTGGGGTGCAAGTGGACAAACACTACATTAATAAGTCTGATCTAACTTGAATGAGAGCCCACCATTGTGCCTATTCCTGTGGCAGTGATGGAGTTGAAAAAATGGTTTGTCTCCTTTGGCACTCCCTTTCTGTCTGGTACAGGGCTTTTTCAAATCTGGTTCATAGGGAAATATAGCAGAGCCATTAGAAGCATGCTGTGATATATTTGCAAGGGCCTTTGAATGTAAAATCACCCATCTCAATCATGGCTTGGACTCTGTAACTAATGGAAAGCCAGTGAGGTGCCCAGAGAACTATCAGGTCCAACTTAATTGGTTGAGTTAATTATTGGAGCTTAAAATGTGGTTAAGTATAGCCCATCATTTGTATGCTTGACCCTTGTTCTTTGTGGCTTATTAAACCTAGAGGAGAGGGTTTGCCGGTCTGGGCCCAAGAAGCTGGAAATGTCCCATTGAGATATGAAGCATTTCCCATTCTTTTAACAGTTCGATCACTACAGTTTATTCACTTCTGAAGAAACCTAGCCTGAATCTGGACAGAGATGGTATTTCTTGTCCAGTGGTATTACCTCTGACTAGAAAAAGATAGGGTAAGTATGGCCTTATAGATTCTTCTGGATTTCTGAGAGACTTTTTGTACAATTGACCATGGTTTCTTTCTGAATAGGCTGTCCAGGTTGGATCAGAAGATACCATTTGACAGTGGTTGTACTCCTCTTTGGATGGCCATTTCCAGAAGGTAGTGTTGGGAGATTTTTTCTTGATGCTGGCCGTGCTTTGGAGTTCTAAAGGATTCTGTTCCTTATGACAGCATGAAACATCCAAATGTTTGGCCTAAGGTGTTACCATATGCAGTTGCTATCCAGCATTACCTTCTATTTCCATCATATTCAGGTAAGGCTGTGGTTGTCCTGAACCAATGACTCATTGTAGTGATGCACTCATATATGGGCAAACAGAGGCTCAATTCAGACAAGACAGATGTAATTTTGGTTGGTGGTTCATCCATCTACATGGTGTTCCCTGTGTTTTACATGGGGTCATACTCTTTCCATAGGGATCTGGTCTGCAGTCTGGGGTACTTATTGATCCAGTACTTCCATGAGGGATCAGGAGATCTCTGTGGTTTGAAGCAACTTCAGTAAATACATGATCTAGGATTTTACATGGATTGAGATTGAAACATAGAAACAAAGCGAGTAAGAAGGGGCCTCCCGGGCCATCTAGTCTGACCTCTGGCACCAGCCGGCTCCGCTCACGACATACCCACCATGTGCATGTCCAGCCTATCCTTGAACACCTGCACTGATGGGGCCTCAGCGACCTCTCATGGAAGCCCATTCCACACCCTCAGGGGTCCTAACTGTCAGGAATTGCTTCCTGGCATCTAAATGGAACCTTGGTTCCCTGAACTTAGCTCCATTGGAGTGTGTCCTGCCTTCCTCTGCAGAGGAGAACAGGTCTCTACCCATCTCCATGTGACATCCCCTCACATACCTATATGTTGCCAACATATTCCCCTCTGAGTCTCCTCTTCTCCAGGCTGAAGAGACCCAGTTCCCTCAGTCTCTCTTCATACCCCATCCCCTGCAAACCGGCCACCAACCTTGTGGCCCTACGCTGCACTGACTCTAACCTGGCTATATCCTTTCTGTAATGAGGGGCCCAAAACTGAGCACAATACTCCAGTTGCAGGTGCAGCAGAGTCGTATAGAGTGGTAGTAATTGCTTGACTACAATTAACCATGCTCTTGGACCCTCCCAGCCCAGACTATTGCAATGCTTTGTGGGTCTAACTTTTGGAAATGCAGTTCATCCAAACCAGGGTCACCAGTAATTGGGACTTGGTATTTTAAACATATTGTGCCTGTGTTTAGGCTAGTGCAGAGGCAGTCATTCCATTTCTGGACCCAAGTTAAAGTGTTGATTTTAAGCTTTATAGTCAGATACAGATACATGCATAGAGAACTTTCTCATGAACATCCAGTGTGAGTTCATTAGGGAAGTGGGGAGACAACATTCTGACTGCTTTAGAAATGTGGTGAGGAGTTCATGTGACTCCACCTGGGCACTACCAGTTTTCAGCAAGGTCAAAAGTCTGGCGTGAATGTTTTAAAGTTGTATCAGGATAAGGCACAAGCAAGGTACATCCCCCAATTCTCTTTGTAGTACTCTCCAAGCATTCAAGCAACCAGTGTAGAAGGTAGTGAAATCAAGGAATATTAACTGGTATGCAAGATAAAGACAGATCTCATTCAGAGATCCAAAACAAAAAACAAAAAAACCTAACTTCACAAGTTTATGAACATTTCAAGATTTATTTTTACCTGCAGTAATTTCTAATTCTCTGGTTTCAAATAAAATTTAGTAGCAGCAGTAGTAGAAGCATTTGGTGAAAGAGATCAGGGGTTTCAAGTGCTTATTATTTTTATTAAAGACTTCAAGGCACACTACTGTGTTTTTCTTCTTAACTAATTTCATTATTTAATTTATTACATGTATATCCTGGCTTTTTTCCTCTTGCATGGAACCCAAGGTGGCTTATACAACCTTTTTCTCTATTTTATTCACACAACAGCTGGCTAGGCTTCACTCTGTAATAGAGAACCAGTGGTAAATGCAGATATGGTTGTTAAAAAACACTCTTTCCTTTCCGTTGGAAGAGAAAAATATTCCAGGCATGCAGAGAGTTCTTTTTAAAACTTTATTGCAATGAAAGGAACAGAAAGGAATGGTTTCCCTTCCCATTCTTCTGTTCACCTGAGCACATGTTCACACACCCCTTTTGAACCCTGTTCCTGGCTGCTTGTTCCCTCCTCCTTTCCCCTAATTGGCTAATAGGGCACTGAGAGTTACATTCTTTCTCCCGCCTACTCCACGCTGCCCCAACACAGGCCCTTCTTCCCAATCCAGCCCTGCCCCTGGTGGGCTACAATAGGTTCATTTTGTTCTGCCCAGCTTGTCAATAAACAATCAGGAAGTATTTGGCCCTCCTGCCTACATGCCTGCTTCCCCATACCTTGTGCTGTCTGATTTTAGCCCCTCCCCTCCTTTGGGCTAAGTAATTTTGTTACCTTTTTAAATCTCTTTTACTCCCTTGTTTCAAATCATCCTTTCACACCTATCACATTAAATACTAGGCAAAGAAAACATGTGATTATTTTTTGTGGATTTTCTAAGTGACTTTAAAAAGAAGGTAACACATATCTCAGTTTTTAAAAATTGTATCTGCTATTAATAGAAAAAATCAATACATATAAATAATATCACTAATTTCCAACTCAGTAATGAAAACAGAAAAGAATGTAGAAAACAATAACTGAGTAACTATAAATAGTGAAAAGTATAACCAAGCTCAGCCTCATCATTCTTTAACATATTAGAACAAATAAAATGTGATGTGGTGGTGAGAATTCAACTCAAGTGGGACTGAAGACCTGAGAAATCTGGGTTCTAGTTTCTTTTTAGCTATGAAGCTCACTGGGTGACTTTGGGCCACTCACTCATGCTCAAACCAATCTACCTCTCAAGGCTGTTGTTGTGAGAATAAAAGTGGAGTAGAGGAGTACTATAAAAGCTGCCTTGGATTCCTTGCAAGAGGAAATAAGGTGGAACATAAATGCAATGTAATGTGTGCGCATGTGCATGTGTTCTAACTGAATAGCTTTAGGAAGTATGGTCTACAGCTAGCACCACTGTAGAAAAAGTGCTTCTTGGCTTGGGAAGATACCTATCTAATTTCCCAAGCCAGGAGAAAATGTTCTGAAGGTCTTACGTAGCAACAAGGTAGATACATCATTTTGATATATTGTACTTAAACCCATAAAGGGTTTTAAACAGCAGTAAACAGCAGTACTAGTATGCTGAATTTTACCTTAAAAAGTACTAAAAGCCAGTATTGGTGTAATGAGTTACCCAAGTTTAATACTGATCAATAATTTAGCTGCTACACCAGTGAAGTTCTCAAGTAGTTCTTGAAGACACCCAACATGCTACACATTTCAGTAGTCTAATCTTGATCTTCAGTACATTAATTTTATTGACCAGACATCACTGTAAAACTTTTAAAAAATTTGGCATGCAAAGACGTGGCCTGCACTAATAGAAGTAAAGTCCTAAATCAGTCCTAAAATATCAAATAAGAGCCACAAAAGGTCAGATAATCAGAAAGAAGAAAAAGAAAAGAGAAACAACATTCAGATGATCTTCCTAGATGCAGAGAAATTAATGAATTAATTATTTCTTTATAAAGTTTTTGGTAAAAGTTACAGAACAGACATGTCTTAGTGTTTCAATTTCTTCTGAATGCATTAAAATGTGCAAGAATTCTATACTTTTTTACTTTGAAATGTTTCATTTGTTCAAGTTTGAGCTTGAGAGTTCCTATTTTCTGCTGCTAATGAATCTTGAAAATCCATGTATCTAATATGCTAAATAATACAAGATCTAGTCATATTATGGCTGTATGAAAAAATCAACACTGGGCAAAACCGTGAACTGGGCAAATTATATATACACATGCTATATAATTTAACAGCTTCACTTATAAGTCTGCATGCTGATTTAAAGGAACTGATAAGTAACCAGAAGAAAATAAGGGAAACATTAAATGAAACTAAAGGTTTAGAGCCAAAGGTCAAGCTCTGTTTTTTATGGAATCCAAGTTTGCCTCAAACTGCAACAAATCTAGATGTTACCAGTGGAGAAATAATTGTGGCAAGGCTGTCTCTGCTTAGGGTGGTCAAAACTTAGCTGGTGACAGATGATAAGAAATGATGGCTCTTTCTTTGAGGGGGACCATGGAGAGAACTGTCAAAAATATCCTTTTAAAAAGAACCAGAATGTTGACAGCTAGCTGACACTTCCCATAGAAAAGCGGGGGGGGGGGGGGCTTCCACTTTCCAACCTTCTTGAGTACCTAGAATGTCTCAGGAAAGGGTGAGAGCCAGGTCCGGTAATGACAATGATCGTATAATAGTAACTGCCTTGAGATGAAAGAAGAGATGAAAAAGGCCACTCTTTTTTGCAGGTAAAGGTCACTTTGGTTTCTCCTGATATCTTGCCTTTTGTAACCTGTCAAGGCAAACAGAAGTGAAAAATAAAGCTCTTTGCAGCCTCTCCTTGACAGCAGGTAACCCCTGGACATTGCTGAAGCAAGCCATGCTATGATGGATTTTCAAAAGAGAGTATGTACAATTCAAAATATCTTTTAAAAAATTGGGCATATTTGGGGCACTTTTTTAAAAGATGAAGAACCACTGACAGCCAATCCAATGTGCCACAGGGTGCTCTGAAGGAGTTGTCTCTAACTGTCAAATCAGAGCTTTTTGTAATCTCTGAAAAAAGAAAAAAATAAGTAAAATGGGCTAAAAGCTGTGGCAAGTGCAAATAGACTTGTGACTGCAGTTTGGGCTCAGCAGACATGGGAGAACTAAGGAGGAAGGAGGGAGTGAACAACCCAGCAGCAGCCCAGTTGTCAAGTGGACTGCACAAATCATCTGTCCAGTTCACACAACAACCAACCCACCATGGGATCTTATTGCATCATTTTGTGTTGTGTAAATACACCCATTGAGTATAATAGGACTTACTTCCAGTTAAGTATGTACATGATTTGCAGCCTGATAACCTACCAACTGACTTCTGTTCTGTTAGAAAAAGCTAGTCTTCATACTCGCTGCCTACAACAATTGGTGAGACTGACAGACTTCCTTATGGGCTTGCACAATTCTAATCTTTCACCTTTTTATTTACTCTTTTATCTAGACTAACATGCTTAACTTGATTTAGTGATGTAAACATGATTACAACACAAAAAGCAGGTTTTCAGAAGACAGGATTGAGTAAGCACCAGTATATGCACAATCATATCCGGCATATTTTGTTGTAGACCTGCAGACTTTTGAAGAGAGGAAAACCACAGCAAGACGTTCAAGGTGACATGAAAATACAAAGTATATAGTTTTGTACTAGCATACAGTTTTTTCTCCATATTCAATGAAACAGCATAAACACAAAGAATTAAGGTATTGTATGCAAATACAGCTTTGCAATTCACACTTTTGGGAAAATATTAGGCTTGAATTATTAAATATGCATTTCTTTACATTTAATTCAACAGATTAGAACAAGTCTGTTTTTGCACAGAGAAAGGTTACTGAATTACTGGGATTACTCTCTTATGGATAAAACAGAAAAACAGATTTATAATACAAATAAGGATATGGTTAAATGTCTTTTCTAAGTACATATTTTAAGAATTTAGATACAACAGTTTGGTAATGACCCATAAACCTTATTACTGCAGCTAATTTGACTTAATGTTGGATCATTGAAAGCTAAGGCTGATGTCATACAGACATGCCTCTTGATTAGTCATGATGCTGTGCAATGTTGTGCAATGCCACAAATTGTTCTTGCTTACACCTTCCCTTCCATGCACCCACACTTTTCCTTGGTCTTTAAGTCCCCTATCTGATGTAGAAGAAGGTGTGCCTGGAACCAGCAAAGATTCCTCATGTTGTGGGATCCTTATGATATGTCAAAGACATGCTAGAGGAATCCTCTAATGAATTGAGTCATGCTTACTTTTTCCATACTTCAGTGGCTGGCAGATGGGCCAAACCGTGGGAGATGGGGCTTCTCTGATGCAGTAGCAGTGTGGATGGGAGGTACTGCTAATGCCTTGGATGTGGTGCTTGACACTAAGGACTTGAGGTGTGGTACTTCTTAATTACTTTTCTGTTGCGATGTTGGTAGGATACAATTTGAAGCAAGAAAGTTGTGTGCTATTTTGGGAGAGTGCTTTACCCTTCCAGTTATTTCAACTGCAATATAATTTAGCTCATTTTATCCCACCAAGCAAAGATTCCAAGGGAAGACATCCTGCAGCACATCAGCTAGTAGAACTGTCAGCCGCTGATCTGCTCCAAGCTCCACTCAGGAACGCAGTGCTAGCTAGTTAAGTAAATTGCTACATTCCTCTGCTAGACAAGCTTCCTGCAGGCTCTCATGTTACGCGAAAACTGAAAGGATTCTCTTTGTCCCAATGTCATCTCCTTTGCTTGGGACCTGTCATAATGCACAGCACTTTTTATCTGCTAATCAGTCACTAAACACACCTATATCTCCGGCACAGCTGCAGATCTGTGGACCTGCCCCAATTTACTGAGGCCCCCCTGCCCCCATAGGCCAACCATGGATAAATCGAAGAAAAGTTTCTGAAGAAAACCAAACATTTAATGATACGTGGGTAGATTCATTTGCTTTTACTGCTGACGAACCTATGAGGTTTGCTGTTTAATGCATGCAGCCCTTTAGCACTGACTTTGACTCTTCAGGAAGCTGTTCTCCTATTCAAAATATGAAAGGAGTCCTACTAGTTTATAATGTAAGATTAAAAATAACAGTTTTTAGTGACCTGCAGCTAAATCATAATGAAGATATACATAGCATTAAGGTAAAAAATGATATATGCAGTGTTATCTTCATTTTAGATGTCAAAAGGGCATCCCGGTGTTTTCTTTTGTGTGAGAAATGGGTCCAAATGGCTCTTTGAGTGTTAAAGGTTGCCAATCCCTGGTCTAGAGCATAAAGCACATGAAAAAGAATGCTGTAACATTCACTCCAGAAGCTCCTGTTGGTGGATCATCACTGGATGTGGCCCCTTGGGCAGTGATCAGCCATACCTCCTTTTGACATTAGTCAGAACTCTTACCATTCCATCTTGCTATGGTGCCACAAATAACTTTTCTTGAAGAGGGCTAGAAGAAGTCCTTTACTTCCTGTTTAACATAGCTTTCCTCAATCCAGTGATCTCCAGAAGTTTTGGACTACAGCTCCTTTAATCCCAGCCAGTATGATTAACACATCTAGTACAAGTTTTTTTTATGCTTTGTTCCTAGTTTTTGAAAGTGTGACCTTTTTCTTGTGCCAGGTGACAATGAGTTGGGCAACTGTTGCCTTTGCTGACTAAAGTGGTCTTCCTGATCCAAAAGATACTTTCTGTACTCTTTACATAAGAAGCTGGGTTTTCCACACAGAATCCTCTCTCCATGTGGGAGACTTGTAATTTTGAAAGTGGATCTTGAAGAACCAGGTCTCAAATAAATGGCACTCTGAACATTAAATATCTGACTACCAGTTCATGATTACTTTGCAGAAAATACAACTCATATTTCATGGGTTTAATTCTCATTCTATACAGTAATAGAATTCCACAACTAAAATGATACAACTAGTTTTAGGCCTATCAATACAAACCACTTGGACTAAATTTGAACATATTCACACATACAATATGTTGCATAATCCTATTTTCATTTTATCTTCTGCTAGAAAGTTTTTTTCTTGCATTTTATTGCCTCTGTAATTTTATTCTAATTATTGTATGTTGTTTTAAGAGTGCATATTGAGCTCTGCTTCTGTGAGCTACTTCAAGAGCATGTGCTAATAGAAGTATGTCTGCAGTATACACAGTCCTTGGGTTAAGGACAAGTTCTTTCCCTGAGATCGTCTTTAAGTTGAATATGTAAGTTGGGTTGCTTATATTAAAAAGCATATAAACACTTAATCATATATACTAAAAGATTTTAAACACAATAAAGCATTTTAATAATGATACAATAATAATAAACTACACCTACTGAAGAGGGAGAGAATCTGATAGTTGAATGGCTAAAACCTAATGCTTTTCCAATGACAGATGGCATTTCACCTTTCTCTGTTCACTTTATTATATCCACTTTAGTGTGGATTGTGATTTTTTTTCTTTTCTTCAATGCATTACCTTACTTGCATCAGATTTATGCTTTGGAGGCATGGTTACAAACCAAATATTGTACAATTTACAGTAGGAAACAATCATTCATAAGTAGGGGGTTGTTCTTGGCTTGGCTTGTCATTATGTGTGGAATATAGCATGATACTTTCCAATAGAAAAAAGCAGCATGCTACTTTCCAACAGGAAGCAATGGGGAAGATATTAAGTACACTAGCTTCAAAGTTTAATTTTAGGGGCAGTTTGAGAGCATGTCAGGAGAACAAGTGGGCTTAGTGCCCTTTGAACCCATGGCCTCCCCTGGCATGCTCTAGGAAAACTCGGATCCCATGGAAACCTTCATCCTATGGAATGTCTTGCTGAAAGACTGAGGAGACTTCTGCCCATGGACCTCTGTCTGTGCCCACAGAACAACAGAATATTTAATAGAGTTGGAAGGGGCCATGAAGGCCATCAGATCCAACCCCCTGCAGTCCAAAAGGGATGGTAGTGATCCAAAACATCCTGTGACCCCTCTGCTTGTTAATTTTAATAAATTAAAATGCTTAATCAGTGCAATGCAATAATCAATTTCTGTTAAGTGGAATAAATACTTTATTTTTTCTTAAAAACAATCTAGTACAGAAAGCAAACACCATGTTGTAAGCCGCCCCGAGGTTTCGGCAAGGGGCGGCATAGAAATGTTATAATAATAATAATAATAATAATAATAATAATAATAATTTAGGAGAATATGTCATATTTCACACTTATACCATCCCTACCAACAATGTTTGCTACTTGCAACAACTCAAAACGAAAGTATATTTACTTTGCTTTTCTAAGAATGATTGTTTGGATAATATACATCATTATGTAAATTTAACTGATCATGGCTTGGGACCATAATACCTGACAATTCACCTCTTCCAACCAAAATGTACCTGGACAGTATGCTAAACCTGAAGCCTTCCTCTGAATGAAACCTTCAAGGCAGGCATGGCTGGTAGAGACCAAGAGGAAGGTCTTCCCTGTGGTAGCCCCCAAATTATAAAATGATCTCCCCATTGAGGTCTTGGTGTCAACTTTACTATTGTTTTAGTGTCAGATTAAGACACTCTTAAGATTCTCTTTGCTGAAGCATTTACCAACTCCAAACAGCACATGGGAGTGAGGACTTTGCCAGCATATTTGTAAAGAGGTCCAGCAGTATGAACTGCTTTTAGTTTTAAAAAGTAGTTCTAAATTTTAATGTAATTTTATGATGCTTTTATTAATTTTATATTGTGTTTATTGTTATTCACCACCTAGAGAGCTTCGGCTATTGGACAGCCTAGAAAAAAATAAAAAATTGAAATCCATATAATTACTTAACTAGGTTTCACTTTGTTCCAGCCCTAATATTAATGCAGCCTAAGGCACAAAACAAAACGACTAAGCAAAACGACTACACTTAAGAAAGCAGTGTGTATGTTAGCTAGGTCAACAAAGATTTTGCATGTCTGCATTCATGTGCAAACACAAAACACAATTTTTGAGTATGAAACCCCCTCCATCCAATATGTAACCCACGGGGTTAACGGCTCGATTCTGTGTATGCTTTCTAGAAATAGCATCCACCTCCCCAGAATTCAAGGGGACGAACATCGAGTTCGAAGCGTTTGTAGGACTGCCCTTTAAGTGCGTGACCCACAAAAACCGACTAACAGCTCCTTGCTGATGCTATCACAATCCTCCTTGCGGAGTTTCCTCATCGAAACTAGAAGAAAGGATTAGGCAGTTTTTCTCTGGACAGCAGCTTTTGTGGAAGTGTCCTTGCATTACAGCAACGGAAAACAGAAGTTGGCCTTCTTACGCTTCTCCCTTCCTTCCGCACGGACGACGTCTGTCGCTCACCTGGATACACCTGAGCTCACCTGAGCCTGCGCGGGCGCCGCCTTCTCGAGCTCCCCCGCGCCCTTCTCGCCTCCCTGCCCCGCCTGCGCCTGGCTGCGCAGGCGCACTACCATACGCCCGGCAAGACTCCTGGGGCTCGACGCTGTCATGGCGGCAGTGAGCAGCGGCAGCAACTGCTAAACAGGCTGGAAGCAATGGAAGAGCTCATTGCGGGGGCTGCGGAGTGAGGTAGCTGCACAAAAAACTTCAGGCTCCTTCCTTAAGGCTGCAGCTCCTCCCCTGTCCTCTCCCCACCCGAAGCAGTCAACGCCAAGCTGGGGCTGGTGGTGGAGGGAAGCACCGGAGACGCCTCTCACCCCTAGTATCCGCCTGGTTTTGCAAGCGGAGGCTTCTCCTCTAACGGCCCCTGTGCGCGGCAGAGGGAGACGCAGCGCTGGGCGAGTACGAACTTCCTCGCTGGCCTCACTTTGTCCTTGCACCTGTGACTGTGCGCGTGAGCGAGGGGGAAGGAGCGGGAGACGCGCTTGCTCGCTTGCTGAAATACAAGGACAGCAGCGGGAGACACTGCAGAAATAGCCGGCTAAGGGGGAGGTGCGCCCCCCCCCCCCAACACCTCCTGTTTAAATTCCCTTTAGGAACCTGGCTCTGTTGCTAGCAAGTTCAACGCTCGACCAAGGATAGAGCAGGGAGCTGCTTACCTGCATGATGGAGTTGTACCTGCCCTTATTTCCTTGGAAGCAGGGTGGGGGGTGGGGAAGGGTGTGTGCGCAGAGAGAATGGAGAGCAGCTTTAAGAATAAGTAGCCACTCAGTTTCTAAAACAATAAATGTATGCATATTCCTATGTATTACTTTTATTATTTATTATTGTTATTGTTTGTATGGATTTTTTTCAGAATAAAAAACTACTGCCCAAATCTTGGTACTGAGGAGGAAAACAAACAATTCTCAGGGCTCAGGAGAACTCCTGATTGTGTTCAAGGCACTTCGGAAGATCCAGACAAGGCACTCAGCTCCCTGTTTCTGGAGTGCTGGAAGTGAACTAGCTATGGCTAGTGAAGACAAACAGGTTTCCTCTCCTCAGCCAACAGGTGATGATGGAGGAGGGGGAAGTGGTGCTGGGCAGGGAAAAGAAGGAAACACGGCTGAAATGGAGAGCAGGCTGCAGCCTTTGAATCCAGGAATCCCTATCCGTGGCATCAGGATGAAATTTGCTGTTCTGGCAGGACTGGTGGAAGTTGGTGAAGTATCCAACAGAGATATTGTAGAAACTGTGTTTAATCTGGTAAGTTGATCACCTTTCAAACTCTCTTAATTGTAGGAAGAACATGTGATGAAACATAAAGGGAGTAATTGTAAGTTCTCGTCATGGCCATGTTACTTCAGCCGTATAGTCAAATTACAAATATGCCTGCCTATTTGTCACAAGGCAGTGAGTCTATTAAACTGTTTTCCCGGAAGGGATCCTTTCTCAGTTCAGAAGCTTAACTCTAAGGTGTCTTTTTCTGTCATGGTTCTTTTCCTTCTTGTGTTTTCTTTGTTTTATTCCAAGCTATAGTCTCTCCTGAGGAACTTTCCTGGTATTTGCAACTTTCTAGTAGTGTATTCGGAATTCTTACATTCTACAGACTTGTCTTAGTTTTAAATATATATGCTGATATATCTTTGAGATGCTGGTATAATTTCAGGCTAAAGCAGCAGCTGGAGTATCCCCCCTAAGTGCATAACTGCTGGTGCAGCATTCAAAGACTAATATAACATTGATTCTGCAAAAGTGTCCTTATATTCTTTAACTATAAACATTTTAAGTCAGTTTTCAGTAACCTTAGCCATGCAATTAAGTATTTGCAGATATTTTTGACAACTCTGGAGTGCAGCTAAGAACTTTGAGTGTTATCTTGTGGGCAGCAAACTTCCTATTAGTGAAGCTTGTAGTAAAAGACTGGATAAATTGACAAATGTGACAACTGAGTAGACTTTGTGGATTACTGACATTAAAGTAACATACCATAATACTGTGTTAGGCTTGTTCACACTGGAGATGCATGCACAAACACGCGTGCTAGAAGACGAGATTGATCTGTCTAAAGCATAGACAGGGATAGATGACTTAATCCAAATCTTAAGCTATCTTTAAAAAGTGGAATGGAGATTACTAAAGCACTGTGCGTGTGTGTGTGTGTGTGTGTGTATACACCATGGGTGTAAATCTCCATAAATTAAATTTCTGATCCTTTATCTAAGAATTTAAATAGTTTTTATGAACCATTTGAACTCCTGATGCATGTCCTGAATTGGCACAAATGTGATTGGCTATATAATTTGGTAAGTTCTCCCCTTAAAGGTTACAACATGAACCATCACAAAGTCAAACTAGAGTTCTATTTATTAATTATATTTATAGCATATAAATGCCTTTTTTTCCTTTCAAGGAACTCAAGGTGGCTTAAACAATCCTCTTCCTTTTAACTTTATCCTCACCACAACCCTGTGAGTTAGGTTAGGGAGAGACTGGCCTAAAGTCACCTAATGAGCTTTGTGGCCAAGTGCAGTTTTTATGCAACTTGAAGCTGAATAAAATATTACAGGTTTTATCCATCTCAAGATTGGAAATGTCTTATTCAGGAGGAAACAAATTGCTCCTACATTATATTTAGTAAAACCTGTGGTTAAAGAAGCTAAAATAGAGAAGAGGGAAGTCTTTTTTTCATGTGCTTGTAATTATGTTCATAATTATTCTTTACTCTGAAGTGCTACTTAGGAGTTATACATCTGCATACATCTATTCAGTTCTTTCTTATGATTCAAAGTTGTTCAACTCTAATCAGTTGCAAATATAGCTAACCACTGGTTAGATTTGAGTTCATAACAATATGTAGGTGCAGATTCTTCCAGAGTAACTGTGACCTAGGCCTACTAAAGCATAAACAGAAAATGATTACCTTGGGTTAAATGCTACAAAAACATATGTAATAGACCTAGGCCTGTTGGACTGAAAGAAAAAAAACAACAACTTTGTTTGCTTGTTTTTCCTGGAGCAGAAGAAGAAAAGGAGAGAGATGAATCACTCAAATGCTCTGATCAAGAAGCAACAGGCAATAATGTTCTATGTTACAAACATGTAACAATTTTTGAAATCTCTAAAGGAGTGCAGCTTCTGTACAAAGCATTGCAAATTATTATCCAAAGAAGCTCTCCTGCGCTATCCCAATATTGTTCTAGTTTGTAGTAAACTAGCAACTATAAAATCAGATTGTATTAAAACAATTTTCATAGAATAAGGGTCAAAACTGAAATGTAAATATTGTATATTCTATAGGATGCATGAATATATACCTCTTATGGACATATGAAGCTGAGTTTGGCCACTGATTTATCTCAGCTTTCCTCAGGCTGGAATCTTTCAAATGAAATTCCCACTAATTCTGGCTAACTCTGCTAGTGGCAGTGGATGATGGGAAGTATAGTTGCTAACATTCAGAGAGGCCCTGACTGGAAATTAGTTTCCAGTGCTTTAGTCAGAGCTTTTTCCCAGCCTGCCACTTTATATCCTTATAATGTGACCTTTAGGCTTCCTGCAAGGCACACAATCTTTCATTGACCAATGCCCCCCTCTCTGTGAAGGGAAGTAGGTAGGTAGGAATGAGAACTATATGTCATCTTTGTATAAGCAAACAATAAGCAAATCTCAAGAGTTGATATCCTTTATTGTAATCTATTTATGTCCAAATATGTAAAGATCCAGTAAGAATAAATTATGGGTTATACTTGTCTTCCTAATTTTCCTGCGCCTGTCCCATAACATTATACAACTATTTGCAGGTGCAATCATATGCTTGCTTAGACCAAAAAGCCTTAACTTGCTAGCATATTTCAACCAGGGAGCCTGACCAAACATACTAGGATTGTAGCCTAAACTGCATCAAATCAATAGAAAGATCCTGAAAGTGTGTGATACTACAAGCCTATGAATGTTTACTTAACAGGAAGCTCCATTGAACATAACGCTTACTTCTAGGATCAGAGCTTTAGTATAGCATAATGACTATGTATGTCATTATAATGACTTTCATTCATAAGCATGAACGAAGAAGTCTCCTGTTCATCCTGGAACAGGCTCAACTTAAGACACAGTTAAGCTCTATCCCAGGGATGTTCATACTTGTTACTTGCTTTTTTGAAGAAATGTGAAGTGTTATAATTTAGGATAGTGTGCAGTGGGAGCGATGCTTTTCACATAACCATCATCCTGATTGGCCTTAGTGCCCAATCAGCCCACAGGTTCTAACTCATTGTGCCTCACTCCAAAGAGTTAAGCGTTTCCTCTTGCACCTCTCCTGCCAGTGATGACAAGCATTTTGCTAATAGCTAGTAAATGCATTTTGAACAGTATCTCTTTGCCCTTAATCATAATTGTGTGTGGGGCGGCGGCGGCGGGGGAGCTGAGTGTGTGTGTGAGAGAGCGAATGAATGAATATCTAGGGAGTTCTGGCAACATCACTTGTTGTTTGAGTCATGTTACAAGTAATAGAAAAGCAAGACTTGTGGCAGACAAAAGTGTGACTCTGACATTTAAGCTTTATTTTCCTCAGTATTAAGGTATTGCTATGCAATTTCTCTGTCCTTTTTAAAGTTAGATGTATCTTTATTTGATGTCATTTTTCTTTTTCCAAAGCAAGTTCATTGTTACAAACCTTTCTTAACTAGTGTTTGGAAAGTGAAATTAGATAAAGTTGACTTTTGCATTCTTAAATCATTATATTACAATGATTTATTATAAATTATTATAAAGTAAGAGATCTTGAGTCTTAGTCCAAATTGTTATAAAGCAACAAAGAATTTTTGGTTCTTAGAAAAGAAGGGATGCAGATATTAATATTGGCGATTTTTTAAGAGAAGGCATATATCTTTAATTGGCTACAAAATGCTGGAAGGGGCACACAGGTTTTGGCAGGAAAGAATAACAAAGTTGGCATGTTGCACTTAACATGACTACATAATTAGTGTTCTGCAATTTTATTTGTTCTTTTCTCAGCATCACTTCCCCTTGAAGCATAACTTCTCATTATTCAAGTATTCTTTGAAAGAATAGCAGACACAATCTCTGCTTTGGCTTTTTGCACAAAACTTCATTACTACCTAATGTGAATTAATGTGCAAAGGAAACTTTGAGCAAGAATTTCTATCTCATACTTGTCAGGTGGTGTAAGATGCTTGTGAGGTCTTAAACACAGTTTGGTTATGACATTGCTGGGCTCATGGTGGTTTCACTGTGGGATGCAGTAGTGCCATACTGCATTGTGAATGAAAGTTTCTGGTAAATGTTTTTGCAGAGTTTTTACTGCATACCCTAGCATGCAGGATGTGGAATATAATGACACAGTTATAATTAAAAGATTTCCACAGTGTAACTTTGGTTGCAGTTGGTTTCAACTTCTGCCACTTCTCTTAGCCTACTTGCTTTGCATCACAATAATGGTGTATTGTAACAGAAAAACCCTTATTACTTTTAAAAAATGTTCTCCATAAAGCTATGCATCCAATACCCAACCATAAGATCTCTTCGTACCAACCTTGCGTGTGTGTGTGTGTGTGTGTGTGTGTGTTGGGGGGGATATCTTGTTTGTTTTGGTCTTTTATGAACCACCTCTGGATTTGTTCAAAGTGAGAAACCATATATAAATATCCTTAATAAATAATACTTATATAAATATAAGATGCCTTTATAAGGCAGGCTTACATAATGTATCAATTTAAGAACATGTGGACTAATAAGTAATTACTATAAGTTCGTCTGAAGTCAACTACCCAAAGGGCATGTCAAATGCAGGAGAAGGAACTCTCATTTTACCCTTTCCATATCTTAATGGCCCATCTGTACCTTTGAAGTGGTTAACCCTGTAGGTCTATACACTTTCCAGTGTTATTAGAATGTCAGTTAGATTGTATTGTCTGGTCATCAGGGCAGTCATGTACAGATCCACTTAGAAATAAGTACTTCTGAGTTCAGTGAGATTTACTCTGATGTAAGTGTGCATAGGATTGCAGTTTAAGTGAAGTGTCGCCTCAGAACAAATAATGTAATAATCCACCCATCCACGAGTGTCTTAACATTGGCTGATCCTAGATAAGAAATGTAAATTAATTCAGCTGCTGAAATGGGGAAGCACACTTTCAAGCTAGATCCTTCTACTCTCCCTTCCCATATAATTTCCCTTGAAAGGAATCCTTTGCACCTATTAAAAACTGTTAGGCATGGACAGAATTTCCTAGAGAAATGACAAT